TTGCATACATCTTATCTTTCATCATAAACACGTTGACAAGAGTGTTGTCTGAGGGAAGGTCGTTTGCCCAAAAGAACGAGAAAAAGCGAGCAAAGATGTTTTTGCAAGGGTCTGGGGGAATATATGTTCCAAACTCTACATGATACGAATCTCCATGATTTATCGAGTCTGCATAACTTTCGCTTCGCACGAACTTGTTACTGTACATCACGTGACCGTCTGCTATATGGAAGCGGTGCAAAAGTCCTTGACCATCAAACCAATGATTAAATGGGATGTCACCGCACTCAAATTTACCAGGTCCGTTCCTTATCAAGGTACCCTTGAGCCAAGAGGGGAGGTCACCTCTTATCTCTGCCTTGATCGGTTCAGGTCGTTCATTAACTGATTGGAATAGGCAGGAGTGGTCTGGTTCGGCAGACATGATATAAGGGGGATCTGAAGTTTGAACAAAGCCTCTATTAGAATGATTTTCACTTTGAACATTGATATAATTCTGTAATCACTTTATTGTTACGTTGTCTTGTGACTGGCTTAAAAAAATCACGCGCCACATTGTTAATCAAACGTAAATCCAAAACCAATAAGACCTGGTCAGTCCAGAGCTTTTCTACTTTTGGTAATGTTTTGATCCACGAACCAAAACAAGCTATTGTTGGTTTTCGCATGACGTCACTAAAATTCAAACTAAAAACCTATCGATCCTATCGAGATTTTACTTTCACGATGCATTAGAGCAGCTGAAAACTAATTTTCATACAAATTTTCGCTTCAAAAGGGTTCTTGGTTTTGTGATAGAGTACGCTTGAATTTCTAAGTGAGTTTCCCGAAGAATAATTATATTTTATGAGTTTCCCGAAGAATAAATTCGCGCTTTTGCAGCAAAACTCGGTAACAGATGTTTCTGTTGGTTTCCGTCCGCCATGTTGGTGCTCATCCAGGTGAGCACCAGCATGGCGTCTCCATAGTTTGGGTAAAACATTTCTTCGGATATCTCGTATACGAAATATTCCTCTGACCTGAATCTTGGCGAGGGTCTCTGTATATGTACCTCCTTTCATTTCCCAGATTCTGGACTTTATCTATTGAACGGTTTTGATTTTTATTTTGATCTATTTTGAATGGCGTGACACTGAAACCCAGCAATTATCCAATCACTGTGCAGATTTGAAGTCACGTAAAGAGAAGCTTGTTATTATGAAATTTCTTGATGACAGTCGTGCGTACACGAACAATAAAAAAAATCAGAAATGAAAAGAAGTTGTTAACCCTTTCAATACTCCCTGGGATAAACCGTTTGTAGAAAAGAGACACGGGAATGTAAGATCTGTTAGTATGGACTATACAGTGATAAAGCAGCGCGATCTCGGAAGCTTCTATCTACTGTCCACGCGAAATCATTTCACCCTAAAATATTTAATGGCAGACCTCGGTGGCCAGGAAATCATGGTTCAGCGAAGTTTGTGAAGAAACCAGTGTAATCATATTTTTAGGATTTCGGTCGCGGTGAAGCAGTATTAAGATTGCTTTTTGTTCCGGGCCCCGTGTATTTCATTAACAACCTAAATGCAGCGTCACGGAAAAGCTTAGAAATTCAAGTGTACTCTAAAGGGAAAATTTAAATTAATGAAGCTTTTTTTTTCTATTCTGATACCTCATGAAAGAAAAGGTTAGAAGAATTGTTAATTGTTTAGTTTGAATTTTGATGACGTTATGTGAAAAGCAGCATTTGGAAGCAATTTTCTGTGACTTGTGCAACAAATGTCACGTAATCTGGACGGTTCGCATAAATTACTGCGCTTTTCACAAACATGCGAATTCTGAAACTCAAAAGCCAATTGACGATTGCTTTTTTTGCCGCTGTCGATCATCTTAACGGACCTCTTTAATAGGAAACAAAACTTTACTTTGACGGGTTCAAAAGGTCACGGTTTGTGATTTGTGATTGGTTGATTTCGATCCGTTTTATGTGTTTCTGTGTTTCAAGGTTCGTTGCTTGTGATCGTAATTATGATTGACGGCAGCGAAAAATGCAATTGTAAAGGCGGCTTTTGAACTTTGGAGTTCGCATGTTTGTGAAAAGCGCAGTAAATACGATCGCAAATATTAGTGATTCTCGACTCTGAAAAAGGCAGGCTAAAAACCATCTTATACGGCTCGTCCAGTAAAGCTCATCTGTATGATTCTACAACGGAAATTTTTCTGCTAAGATGGCAAATAAACATCGAGCTTAAATACAAGTCGGATGAGTCTACGTCCATTATACATACTATTCTATTTTTGTATTATGAATACTACTATTATTATAATTTTTACATACCATTGCCTCCATGTGATAGTGGCTTAATGTCCTATCAATCCTAACTGCATCGATCATTAAACTCACGAATAAGTACCTAGATCTACTCGATCAGCAGTCTACAATGTACCGCTACTAAAAAAGCCACGCAGCATAAAATGACAGATACGGAAGAGTCCTATGATAGCGGCAATATTTAATAATGTCATTAAAATACAGAATGAGATGTTCTTTACATAACGTAGCTTAAAAATAAAGTTACAATATTTGCACTTACCTGCTTCCAATTAGACTGTTCACAGTCCCCTATTTTTCCGTGTGATCGTCGAGATCGAGCGCGTCTTCCTGTTAATGGCGGCCATCTTGATTTTTATATGAGCCGAGTGGGCGGGCGTCGGGGATTATAGCTCTACCGTCCCCCGCCCGCTAAGTAGATTTGATACTCTTCCCCAGGTTAGACTCGGTACAACTGAAAATCAAGATGGCCGCCATCGACGATCTCACGGAAAAATAGGGGACTGTGAACAGTCTAGCTTCCAATCTTCCAAGGTTTTCGCTTCGCGTGACACCTATACCTCAGTCCAGGCCCACTCGGATTGACACCGCCTATCATTTTTCTGATGTCACGCAAACGTTCTTTTTAATGATTTCCATTGGGAAATAATCATATAAGTGTTCATAGATCAACTCATCAACTTAATTTAGTCACACTTGCAAACTCTTGAAAATATGAAAGCCTCAAAATGGTCAATATTTAAATAGAATATTCTCTGTTTTCACTGTCACGCCATCAAAAATAAAAAATACAAACCAAGAAGTAATATACAAACAGCCTCGGCAAAAATCAGGTCTGTGCGATATTTATATACCAGACAATCGGGAAAATGTTTTACATAAATTTACAAAGCTTTATATAATGTCCCTTTGAGGGCCCTCACAAAAATGGCGGCCGGAAACCAAAAGAAACAGCTGTCTTTGAGTTTTCCTACAAAGACGTAACTACATCACTTGAGGAACTCGTAGAGATTAAAGTTATATTTATTCTGAGACTAGAAGTGCTTAGATAACAACTAAAATCTCAAAAAATCGGAAACGTTTTTAACCCACATAAGAGCTTTCCAGGTCGCCAGTTAAAAGCGGCGTCACGCAAAAGCGCCCTTTATCGCACAACGAAGAACCCTTTCGAACCGAAGATTTGTATAAATAAAGGTGTTTAGCTGCTGTAATGCATCAGTCAATTCCAGCTGTGCCCTGATGCATAAGACCTCATGAAAGAAGTAACTCAGAAGAATCGATAATTCCTTGAATTTTGGTGATGACATCAACCTCGTCCCCAGGGCGCTTTTCCCTGGCTTTGGGGCCCCGCGGTGTCACAGCGTTTTGGGCATCCCCGCGTTTTGGGCATCCCCATTCCCAAATCCCTAGCGTTTTGGGCATCCCCTTCTCATGTTACTCCAGCGTTTTGGGCATCCCCCGGTACCCTCCCGGGATGCCCAAATCGCTAGTGTTTTGGTCATCCCCTCCAAAAAAATGCTGGATTTCGAGGGAAAATCGAAAACGTGTTAGAGATGGCTTCCGCTAAATATAGAAATCTTTTCCAGTATCTTAAAAAGAAGGCTTATCCGGAAGGCTTTACATAGCAAAAAAAAGACTCTGCGAAATTTGTCAAAACGTTCGAGTATGACTCAAAATTAGAGTCCTTGTTCTAGGTGGCCAAGGAGAAGGATGGCACAGCGCTTAGACGAATTGTTCACCGAGGAAGAGAAAGCGAGTGTCTTCGAAGAGTGCCACTCTGCTCCTTTTTCTGGACACGCCGGCCGCGATAATACTTTTGCACCCTGTGAAGGTTGTTCCCAAGGTGTGGTACTCGGTCGGAATTGATTTAATAGAAGCCCCTACTACATCTCAAAACGGCAACAGATTTCTTCTGTCCCGTAGGTGCAAGAGGCCTCTGTATAAATTGTGTGTCAAGTAGCGCTGGGGGTTAAGTTGTACAGGCCTCAAATGTCTAGCCTGCGCGCAGACCCTTTATAGCTATAAACAAGGTTTAAAGGGTCTGCGCGCAGGCTAACCCTTAGCCGCTTTTTTTACAAATCAGGGGCACCCAACGAGAATATAGTTCAAAACTACTTAACATAGCATTGTTGAACGTATTTTAGTATTTAAACGGTAGATATAGGCATATTTTTATCCCCTAAAAACTTTTCATCTGTTCGGATTTCCTAGCTGAAAATCTAGTGATCCGAAAATCATAGGGATAAAAACTTACCTTCTCGAAAATTTCAGCCAGGAAAAGGCTCCCGAAAATTCTAGGTGGCCTTTTTTAGGGTCAAAATCCGTTAAAAATGGGTAAATATACCATTTTGTAGATGTTCGAAAATCCTAGGAGAGGCAAGCAAGCAAGAAATTTTACAACAAATGTTCCGAAAATTTTAGATCTCAAATCGTCTTCCGAACAGATATTTTCCGAAAATTGCCGTTGGGTACCCTGACAAATAATATTTACTATTTTTCTGTAATTTTCCTTCTTCGCCCACCTCTCACTCCTTTATAATTCCCTCCTATATATCGTCATCTTATTTCCCGCCCTCTGTACCCCTCTAACCCCTTAATCCTTCGAGCTACCCCATCCATGTCGTCGTTTTCAAGGTCGTCAGGAGATGCACTGAAGCTATGACGTCAATAGAGGGTAACGCAATGTAACAGATAGAGCAAGCAGGATTACCTCATTTACATACGTTTCATGTAAATACCTGTATCGTTAATCAACCTTTCAAACGAGTTCACGGTGGAAGAACACGCTTTTGACAGCTCAAAGCTGCACGAATATCTGAGAGAAAACTTGGCGGACTTCCCGCCTGAAGAAGGAGAACTAAAAGTCTTCAAGTTCAGGTGAGACCGATCGATTGCAAGACGCATGAGACGCTCGATATACGAGATTTCAAGAGATTATGTCTTTTTTTGTGCGAGTCGCATGGTTTAAACTTCCAATTGTATTTTACATATGATCAGAATACATTCTTAAGTATCCCTGATCAAAATTTTTCGGCAAATGTTTCTCATCATGCTCACGCTTCGAAAATTACTTTCTTTAAATTACATTTGCATGCATAAAAATTATCTCTCTGACGGTGACCTTTGTTGAATAAATCGTCCTAATTCAATTGTGCACTACGGTTTGGTCTTTGAACAAAGCCCTCAAAAACAGTAACCGTATTTTATTACCTCATGGTTACTCATTTTCATTAACAGATTTCCTAGTTGCCGGATTTAAAGTTTTAGCTTGAATTCAAGCTTATGAAGTTTACCCTCGGCTGATATCACCAATGTTGCCCATAAATTTATTTTTCGGGGTACTTACGTCTAAGAAAAATTAGATCAGAACTGTTTTCTTTTTGCTGATTATTTGATTTGACGTTCCCACTTTTGTTTCTCCGCAATGTTTTCTCAAGTCTCCGTGTGGTCACGAAATTGTGGAGAAGGGGCATTGAGTGACGACACAATATTAGCTAATATTTGATTAAAAACAGACAATGTCACGCTATTTGTTACCTTTTTAAATGCTAAAACTTTACTTCATATCAATTGCATCCCAAAAAAATAGTCCAGTTTTGATATTAAAATATTATATTCAGGTATTCTTTTTAAAACGTCTTCTGTCAGTCGGTTGCAATGCATGGCAAGTGATGGACATGGATTGAAACTTAAAAAAGCTCAGCCAACTTTTTCAACTTTTAATGCCTTGCCTGCAAAAATTACCAAAATAATGAACAAATATTGGGCGGGGTTGAGCAAAATCTTGTGATTTGTCAGAGGCGAGCACTAGATCGGCTGAGGCAAATAATTGATCTGCGAGACAATGACAAATCACCATATTTTGCGATAACCGAATTCAATAACTGTTATCATTCAGTCACCGAGTTTGCTTTTTTAATAAATATCTTCGGGAAACTACCATTTTCACGCAAGAGCGATCGCAAGAAGCAGAATATTGTCTGCAGTCAAACACAGTTGGACGACATTGCGCATGAGCAGACCATTATTTGTAGGCAGTTATTTGCAGGTCACATGGTGGGATCTCTGCCAATGAAAAGGAAGAAAAATATTTATGATAATTATTATGGTCAGTGCTCCCTGATGAAATTTGTTTGATCAACAAGATCATCATGAGCCCCAGTCATGATCTCAGGCACCCACTACTTCACATGCATGAGCGAAACCAAATACTAATGAGGAAAAGCCATAAATTGGTCATTTGTAGCTTCTTCGTATCCTGCTCGGCTTCTTCGTTTGAATTGAGAGAAGGGGAGCAAAAAATCACGAAGAGACGGCATGTAAAAACATGGAGGAGGGGAAGTGGTGGAATAGAGTAGCATAAGGTTCGGCTCATGTAAAGTGCGGCATTTGACACTGCCAAAGGATAATAATAAAAATCTTTATTTTAAGAGGGTGACACCTATTACTACCTATGAAGACAAAAATAGTATTCTCCCTAGTGGCCCTCTAAAAACAAAATTGATAACAATAAAATTACATTAATCATGATAAAAAGCCTATTTGCCACTTGTTTATTGATGATGATCATAATAATAATACTGTAATAATAATAACAATAATAATAATAATAATTTTTAACCAGGAGACTGTTCACCAGGGTGATTTTCAGAGAGGTCCTGAAAATAGAAAATATAATAAGGTAAAAAGAATTAAAACGATAAAAAGCCACAAAAAATTCCCTACACTAAGCAAACATAAAGGATCACAAAGAACTATTGAAAAGGTTATAAAATTAGCGCTAAAAAGTCACAAAGTCATTTGATTTTCTAAAAAGATATAAAACTGTTCAGAGTTTAACAACACTGAAAATAATTATAAAAATTACTCGAGGTTATTTGATTTTCTTAAGCACAGATCTAGACTGTTTCAGTCGTTAGCAGCTTGATAATGGGTCCTTTGTTTTCCCCAGTTTCTTCTTACACGGGGCAGTCTCAAGTTATCTTCGTGTCGTGTATCGTTGCCGTGCACATCTTTATTTACCAATAGATCCATACTGTGGGCTGAGATCTCATTAACACATTTATAAACGTAAAGGCAACGATTAAAAAGTCTGCGTTTCTCCAAGGTTAACCAACCAAGGGCTTCAAACGCGTCGGTAGCAGATGAATGAAAAGGGCGGTCTGATATCGTTTTGGCAGCCTTGTTCTGCAGGAGTGGTAAATTGTTCATGAGAACAGCATTGCCCCTATCCCCCCAAACAGTGTCGGCATAATCAAACATCAGGACAATAAGACTGTTAAAGAAAAGAATACGCGCACTACGTGGAAGCAAACTCTTAATTCTCCTTAAACGTCCTACGCGTTGCAATTGATTCGTGGAAACATATTCAATATGCTTCGTCCAGGTAAAATTTGAGGACGAAAATACACCCAAGCACTTAAAGTGTCCAATGCCCTCAACTTGTTTGTCACATACTTAGAGAGATATAGCGGTGGCAGCACGCAATTTGCGATCGCTGCCGATTAGCATGGTTTTGGTCTTCTCTATGTTAAGTGTAAGCTTGCTTCGATTGAGCCAAGGAGCTATTCTCGACAGATCTTCATTAAGAGCATTCTCGAGATCTTTTATGTTAGAGGAGTAGCAGTACAAAACAGTATCGTCGGCATAAAGGGTTACACTACAGTGATTGACAGCAGTAGGCAAGTCATTTATGTAAACAACGAAAAGTAGGGGCCCTAGGATGCTCCCTTGTGGTACACCATAGGTAACCGGTAGAGGATCGGAGATCTCTTTGCCGCATGAGGTGCGCTGCTTCCTATGACTGTGGCAGGATTGAAACCACTGAACGGCTTTAGGAGTTATATCCCAAGGAAGATAACTTGGCGAGCAGGATACTGTGATCCACAGTATCGAAAGCCTTTGTTTTGCAATGCTTGCGTTTCAACTGATATGATTAACAACTGGGCTCCTGGTTAAAGGGGGCACTCATTGTAAAAATCCAAATCGTTCAAACTGAACTTTGTTATGAATCTGTGTTGATTATGTTCTTGCAGTGCTGGAACTTCAAATCCTACCTTTCTTCTTCGAAAGAATGGCAAAGAATTCGTGTTGAGGCACAAATCACCAGTTGAAATATATGTTGGATACCACAAGGTCAGTTGAGTTGCTGTTTCAAGTTCTCAAATCACATTTCTAGTTGGAAGACGGTCGAGGTGATTAGTCAGGGAGTGAGGTACTCCATAAAGGACGGAAAAAAGCGGTTCAGTACATACCTCATAGTGACACAGTGTAAAAAGTATCAAGGCCTAGCCTTATTTAATGCAATTTAGGTGTAAGCGGATAATATAAACCGAGACCTCCGAAACTCTAAGTGTAAAATAAGAAAGATGTTAAACTTGACAAAGAAGAGAAAATAATGAATTTTTCACCATGTCTGTGTGGGACAAAGAAAGGAAAAAGACAACATTACTTCCCAGATTACAGTGGGGCGCTCAACCACTGTACGAACTAATCAGGGGATGTCAGTACGAACTAACCTACCGGGCTAACCTGCTATCAGGGGTGGTTCTTGTTCCCTTATTTCTTTCTTTTTTTTCCTTCTCTGTTTTCCCCTTTGCCCGTCCACTGACTTTTCGTGTTCCCGTCACTTCTCAAAGAAAACTGGAAGGGGGAACGGCCCTGATCACAGGCTTAGTACGAACAGACTTTCTCGAACATGGCACTTTACCACAGTTTCAGTAGGCCATGTTACTATTACGAATAAAACCCGTTTCGTTTTTAATTTATATTTCAATTTAGTAATTTCGACGAGGTTGCCCTAATTTGCACAAATCAGAAGGATTCTGGTATTAGTAGAAAATGACGTCATCATGTGAACGGCCCATTGTGACACGCGTTCTGCATAGTGCATAATTACAACAAATCGATAGTGGCCTTTTTCCCGGGCAAAAAAGAATGGATTTAATATCGTAATGTTTATAATTTAACAGGTTGATGTGGAATACAAAATCATGTCTGCCCTCAGTGGTGCTTCTGTTCCGGTTCCTAAAATGTACCTATTCTGCGAGGACAAGACAGTTATGGGCCAAGAGTTTTACGTAATGGAATATATCAAGGTACAACTTTCGACTTTCGACTTTCAATTGTTATATCGCCAAATCTGAAAAGAGGTCGTTAACAATGATAATTGATAAGAACATTTCCCTCTTCTTTCTCAAAATGGCTCGGTGTAGTCGTTCAGAGTTAGTGTTTACGCTCCTACTATCTACCTCGCCATGTAGCTATATTAAAGGCAAGGGTTACCATAATTTCCCACCCTAGTTGTGGTAATAGCGTTATCTTTCTATTCGGTATGGTATTGCCGTTTTTCCGACGAGCTCGGGTGACTTGCCCTTACTTGTACACGAGAAGAGTTATCGTAAGGTCTCCGGTTTTCAATTATCTACGAACTTTTACAAGGAGACAAAGAACGGCCTCATGGCAAACTAACATGCAAATTAATCTGATTTTTTCTTAGGGTCGTCAGTTCCCGGATGCCAACCTTCCAGGCGTCCCTGCTGACCAAACTAGGGCTATCTTTGAGGCTGCAATTAGAACTTTGGTACAACTTCAAACTGTGAACACAGACGGACTTCATCTGGAGGGACTTGGTGACAAAGAGAACTACTTCCAAGCAAGGGTACATAATCGGAAGGGTTTTAATCTAAAGAATAAAAATAATTTTTACAAGACCAAAGATGCTAAACAGAACAATAGTATCACATAGGAGCAAGCGGTCACTAGCTGGAGAAAACCAGCAAACTCAGTTGATCTTTATATTCTCATATCCAAACCGGAAATGTTTTTTCAAAGTTAACAAGCTTCTCTTGGTTTGTTTCAAAAAGAAGTAGGGGGCATGGCTAGTAGACATGGCTGGTATGAAAACAAAAATAAACGTCATTTTTTCCACTGCTTTTTCCAGCTCGAAAAGCTCTACGAAGGATACAAACGAACCGAAAGGAAGGCAGTTCCAAAGGCTCATCAATTAATGGAATGGCTAAAAAATAACTTACCAAAGGAAAACAGGAAACCCGGTACGTAAAACATGATCAAGATTTAAATACTTTATAAAATCATGTAAAGAATTGAAATCAGATTTAAGATGATAAATCTTGGTTTGATGTAACCCTCCCTCGTCAACGTGCGCTGATGATGTTTAGTCTATAGACGTTGCAATCTCGTGAGAATATTCTCACCTATCAGATGAAAGCCATTTCGTTTCTTCCGTTTGCTTCTTAAAGCTTTCAGCGCGCGTGGTAGATGGTTTCAGTCAAGATGGCCTCCACGTCGACATTCTGGAGAAAGTGCAAAAAAAGAATCATTACAGTAATAGCTTTCCTTGAGTAAACTATAGCTAAAACTATAAAGGAACTAATGAAGGCCACTAAAATAATTATCATGATTTGAAAGATAGTTGAAAAGTTCCTAGTTGGTGAGAAGTGTAAGTTAATTTAGAATTTTATATTTACGTAAAAGGTACGAGACCCGAAACGGTAACAGTCTCTTCAGAAAAAAAAATGGTCGAAGCTGGTTGTCTTAATTGTTATAGTTTATTTGATTTCAGTTATTTTCCACGCCGATTACAGAATTTCAAATATGATATTTAAGGAAGACGAGGTGGGCTTAAGATTTATCTTTGTATGCAAATCAGATTAATAAGCTATTACGCGGGATAAGAGATAGAGAAGAGTAGTCTATCCTTCTGAGCAGTCCTGATACCCCAAATAGTGCCTTTCCCCTCGAAGGAGAAACGACACTGATATCCCTTAAAATAGGGGTTGATCGAATTGAGGGACAAAACAACACACTTTTTTTTCCTAAAGTAACCTAGAGAGACGTTTTTTTCCTCCGGAGGAAATTAAGAAATGAATAAGTTAAAGTGAAGTTGCAAAAGAGAATACCTATAGCTACTTTACGCCGTCATCAACGTTACGTGTCATCCCTACATGTACATACATGCACTCATTCCTAAGAGGCTGTTTTGTTTCTCTAGATTCAAGAACATTGTTCTCGCGGCTTCACGTACTAACGCGCTTAAGTCCCGCTAGTTTACTGCAAGCTAGGTGTGTAGAGTGAGTTTTGAGTATTTTCCCTCTCGTTTAAGCCCCAGATTCTGGCCGTTATAGACTGGGAAGCAGCTTCTTGGGGACATCCATATGAAGACCTAGCCTATTTTTGTTTTCCGTTTCACTTTCCTGCTGAATTGGAGGTCTTACCTACGGGAAAAGTAGGTAGGTGTCCTCGCTGATTTGAATTTTGGACTTAACAAGCAATGTTGTCTCAGTGCGACCTTTGTTATCCCCGACCGTTCTGCTTCTTTTCAAAAATCTTTGCCCTGATCACATTAAAATGTTAGAACTAACCTTTTTCACGTGACGAAACAGAACACACAGAAGCTTAGTCGACGAGGAGATCCCAGGATTTTTAACTGATATCATTAATACACAAGGCAGTCAACTAAAAATCACTCCACTAACATTGTTTGTTCAACCAACTATCTTCTATGAAGTCCAAAACGCAGTAATTTTTGACTTTATCCCAGGCTACTACTCAGAAGGAATTCCCAGTGAGGAGTCACTACTCTCGCTGTACTGTCAGCTTTCTGGTGAAACACTTCCGCTGCCAGACTGGACATTTTTCCTGGGTTTGACGCTTTTCCGTGTCATCGTAAATATCCAGGTGGGTGTAAGAAAGAAAAAACAAATAGAGGAAACAGATGTTTTCTTTACAAAAGATGATCCGCAGGAAATGCTTACTGCAACTAGAGGCAACCATTCATTTCACTCTTTCACTCTTGGGATTTGAAAACAACTGTGAAGTGAAAAGTGGTACCTCAAGGTTCTTTTATGTGACCTGAGGTCGAGTCTCATAGTGTCGACTGAACACGTTTCCATCCGCGACACTTGCCCTTTAGCTGCGCTGTTTTCTTAGAGCCCTTTCCAAAAGTCAGGACTGGCCGGCCGGACCACCGGTCATTTTGTAAATGAAATGGCTTTTCTTGAGAGTTTTCGCCAAAAACCTATCACTTCCATGATATATGATATTTAGGAATAGACTGATCTGGCTGAACAGTTCTGATTTATGGTGAAATTCTCTTTACGACTGGACTGGACTACCTGTCCAATTAATTTAACTTATGGCAAGCGCCCTTAGTCATAAAATCTTGCACCACATGTACATTACCCATGCACAAATGGCACTGGCGTAGGGTAGGGTGGGGGACACAGGGAGACAGTCAGCTGATGCACATACGAATGAAGCACACGCTTTTTTAATGTGGCCAAAACTACTGTCGAGGTCATCAGTGCTGACCCAAAGCTGACTGTATTCTTTGACGTACTCTGTAACTGCTTAAATATAATACATCCACAAAGTGTTAAATTCTCTATCATTTCCTTACTTTTTCAGACCGTGCTAGCCCAGCTTACTGATAGCCCCGTTCCATTCCCTTTCCCTGTCGAGAGTATAGCTAATATGCTTGAACCACTGGCAGACTACGCCTGCAATTTCGTAGGAGTTAAATAAGATCCGTCAGATGGGATGGTTCGTGTATCATACACCGAAGGCAAGCCTGGCTAAGCGTAAAACAAACTTCAAAAAAATTATTCCTCATTTTTATGATTTCTGCTGCTGATTTCCATGGAGACTAACGCAGAGAACGCTAAAACCAAAGCCAAAGTTAAGAAGTGATCCTGATCTCAGCAAGGAAACAAGGGACGGAGATTACTTGACTACGCATGCACGACGGTTCAAAGCGACCAAGTTAATAGCAATCAGATAATTTTCATTAATCAGCTAAGTTTTGTTTTCGTGATCAAAGTATTGTCGGCCGATTCTCGGTGAGAGTACCTGTGAATTCATTACCCTCTTGGCTCTTCACATTTTCATACCCGAACAAGTCACTGAAAAGCTGTGTTCAAAGATGCATTTTATTTATCCATAATTCTAAGGTAGGAAGTCTACGTAAAAGTTTTTCAATTGTTGCGATGATTACATTGTATAGCTGGAATTTTATTGTATCAAAATATATGAATAAGCTGCACGTGTTTCAATCGTATATATTTTCTTGACGACCGAATGTAGGCTTGTAAGGTTTTAAGGGTATTTCAACAATATCAACTCTTCTGTCATCACTAGTACTGAAGCAAAGGCCGGTCCTCTCTAGCGACGCAAGCAGACAAGCATAATCATAAGCATAAGAGTAAGCATAAGATTAACGTAAGTATAGAAATAATAAAGATCATAAGACTTATGCACTGGTGAGGACGGCGTGACGTAAGCATAAGAATCACCCCATATAAGGGAATCCGAATTCCGGTATTCAGGAAATTTTTGCTTGTGGAATCCGGAACCCTAGGACTTTGATCCGGAATATAGTGTTCAAGAAATCCAGAATCCCACTAACGATTTTAATCCGAAATCCAAGTTTCACTAACAAAGTCCGGAATCTAGTAACTGAAATCCGGAACCCACGGCGTGTAATCCAGAATCCAAAACTGTCTTGGATTCCATTACATGGGGCGAATAAGGAAAAGGCAAGGTTTTGATATTCTTTATTTTGATATGTTTATGCCGGCTTATACTTATGTCAAGACCGTCCTCACTAACGCATAAGCTCCTAATGCTTATGCTTATACTTGCGTCGCTAGTGAGGATCAGGAGTTACAAATTAAGAAATTAATTCCTTGTGCAATACTCTATTTTGTCTTTCTCGGATTCATCAAAGTCTGATATCCATGGGTGATTTAGGGCTTTCAAAGCAGTGACTCGCTTGTGTGGATGAACTACAAGCATTCTCTTAACGAGATCTGTGGCGTCATCGGATACTTGATCCCAGTAACGCGCAGCCATGTTATAGCGTCCCTCTACTATCAGCGACATCAGCTTTTGATTATCATTTTGCCAAAACGGTGGGTACCCCACAAGTAACAAGAACATTATCACTCCGCATGCCCAGATATCAACCGCTGTACCAATAGGATCGGCTAGGATTGTTTCAGGTGCAAGATACAATGGTGCGCCTTCTAAATCACAATTGATGGAGTCAGTGTCCTTAGGAAGGCGGCGCGCAAGTCCGAAGTCTGTCAGCTTGACGGTGGTTTTACCATTAGCGTTTTGTATAAGAATGTTGTCTGCTTTGATATCACGATGAATAATTTTCCTTCGATGGAGGTAGTCGAGTGCTTCAATTATCTGAAAGATGAATTACATGAAAATGGTTACAATCCGTTTCAAGAAGTTCAAAGCCTGAACAAACGAATATTACGCAAAGATATAGGGGGAATTCTACAACGCTCTAGGAGGGAATGTTTACAGTGTCCCCAATTTGAGAAGCGGAATGAAGAAATTTGAAGGTCTAAGGAGGAATCAAACCATCAAGCCAGATTTCTTCCAAGCGTAATCGGATAGGAATTATAAGAACTTCGTCGAAAATTAAGTCTGAAGGACGGAATAAGCCCGTGAGAAAGCTTCACAGCAAAAATCAACTGCAAGAAAAGGAGGCAAAGCAACAAATGACTCAAGCTGAAAGCGCATTAACTTTTGACAACATAGCTGAACCTGATCGCTGAATATGTAATATCCCTACAAGAAAAGTGACCGACTGATTTACCTTGAAAAAAGTAAAACGTAAGGCTGTTTTTACTAAATGCTATGAAATGTATTTCTTTTTGCTTAAGTTTTGCAACCATAAAAAGGTTTACCCTAAGGCATTTCTAATTGGTGGTATAGTCGTCACCAGCCCCTCACAAAAACTATGCGACAAAACTTAGATGCGAGCGGAGTATCTTCAGCGGGGAACTGGTGAAAAGGTCTCATCGAACATTAGCTCGCGAGCGCCGGTTTTTGTTTCATGGTCAAGCTTTCCCTTTGTTTAATCATTTTCATACTTGCGTTTATGCAGTGTACAGATAACTGATTACGACAACAATTACCAGCTTTGTATTAAAGAGACTCCTTAGGGATTACTATGCCAACGTCCTACGGACTTGCTATAATTAATGTAGTAGACTGCTTGCAGTCCGCCTTTTCTCTTTAAATCCGTCTAGTTCTTGATCTTGGCATCCAGCGCAATTATATAGCCGCTCGCGTGATAAGGTTTTGCGTGTAGTAACTTTCCAAAGAAAAATAAGAGACTGCTCGCAGTCTATTGGTTTATCTGTTGTGACCCGGCCATGTATATGTATGTTATTATTATTTTTTTGTTCTTGTTTGCTTTTTTGAGGGGGGCGAAGCTGAATAAGTATAAATATAAATATTACTTACGACCTGACACTAGCCTGCACGGACACTTACCTGTTGAACGATTCGTCTGCTTTCTTCTTCAGTGAAGTCGATCTGGTTTAATATTTCATCAAAAAGTGTCTTTCCATTAACAAACTCTAGAACGATCCATACAGTGCTGTCATCATGGAAACGATTATGCAGTGACACAATATTATGATGATGTAATGTTCTCCATATATCAACTTCACTGTCGATTTGCTTCTTATCATAATTGTTATCATGGGCTTGGAATTCTTTCACTGCAAAGACGCAGCCTGTCTTTCGTTCCACGCATTTGAAAACTTTTGCAAAGTTCCCTTGTGCAATGAACTCCCTCAATTCGAAAACTTGACCAAAGTTCCTCCCAATTTTCTCCATACTAAATCTGTGGTTCTTCAAGGAATCAGGTAAATTTCTGAAATAAAAAAGAACTTATACCTTTTATTTTTCGTGAATCGGCTATTTTGATTTTCTCTTATTCATTTGATGAGTTGTTTGATCCTCTCCCTCGTTAGGCCCGATCACCAGCCATCGTTAAGGAGGTAAAACCGGACCCCCTCAATCGCCGGGTTGGAAATCGAGTCTACTCCCTTGTCTACTAAGTTTAATTCAGTTACCATATCAGGCATCCGGCCAGTAGTCTATCTGTCTACCCCACCTTAGGGCATTTAGTGCCGTCCATTCAGTTCATTTATCCATCCAGAAATAAACTGTAAAAATCGTGGACGAGGATCCCGCTAGTTGTCAACCGCGTTGGACCCGGAAAAGGTCTTATAAGCTAAATTTTATTTGAAATTTTAGAAAAAGACTACTGCGAAACCGGTGAAACTACGGGTAGCATTTTTTTTTCAAAAAATATTTCGGTTTGCCACACGTGTCAAGATTCTATGTCCATCTACTCGCCTCTCTTTTTTGTCTATTCAACTTTTGATATCTAATTCATTACTTCTAAAATTCACTCAGTAAAAATTTTTTACGGGCAATATTTCACTTCAAAAAAACGAAACCTGTTGTTGTTCGTATCAGATTTTCAGTTGATCTGTACCACTTCTATTGTTAACACATCTAAACTAATTACGAAAATCCGCTTACAATAATGCCAAAATCCTAAGTTGACATCATGAATACTCTTGGAGCTGAGAACCTTCCATCTTGTTCAAATGTTTGAAGAGTAACTCAATACTAGTCACGTTTCTCTTTTCTCCGTGCCAGCAAAAATAGTATGTACGTGTCGAAGCTTCTGACACCTTCGTTATTTGCTTTGGTCTACTAGTTACTTAATTTGATTTCGGGTATGGTGAGACAGTTTTTCTGTCCTCCTTCTCTTGCCGTCCATAATAAATACAATCTCTGAGTCAGAAAGTAGTAGTTTTAAAAAGTTAAAAGTTGAAAGGCGGTCTCGACTCAGTCGTCCGTATCACCCATCTATTATAGTGGTTGACATAGTCTGTATGAGTGTTTTACAACCAATTGAAAAAGCTGTAATGGTACACGTAAGGAAAGGTTTAAATTTATTGCATGATAACGCGAGACAATTTCCTTAGCTGTGCTTGTCAGCACTTCAGAACACTTATACTGAAAAAAAAAAACAGCCTTTTCATCTTTATCACAACGATATCTAAATTTACACCTAAAAATATCATATCTTAATGAAAAGTACTTGTCCTGCAGATTTCAACATGTGGATAAGATTAAAGTAAATTATATCTCGCATACATTGATACCTTACTGCAGTGAATGCAAAACGGCACGTTACATTAAATTTTTGAACTTGAAATCACTGTTTTGGTGTCGTTCTTGAAGCTTTTTGAAAAAATGTTTATGTAGCTTAATTAAAAGTAGTAGTCTCTCGGTCAGCTTCGCTCTACCCCGCCTTACGAGAAGAGGTACGTTTCTCTTTTATTTTTAGTCTTTTACGAAGTCGTTCGCGTCATTGTCATTCGCGTAGTTGGTTCTATACTTATCTTGAAATTCAACTGTTTACTACCGGCACAATATAAATCGAAAATTGCATCACTAAGTTGAAAAATAAATATTTGGCGATAATTACCATTTGTGCCCTTCGCTGATGATCACGTTGTAAAAATAGACTGACAAAATTTTTATTTTTCAGGTTTGTCTAAAAGCAATTCGATCATAAGATGAGCAGTTCTGTTTAAGATATAATGACAATCAACACAGACTTACCTCAAAAGAAAGACGCAGCTATAAATTTAAGCCAATGTAAGCACTGTTCCAAAGTCACGATACCAGTCAAGGATGAAACTGTTATCAACGTGTTTGAAGATCAACACGCTAATTCGCACCTTTTCCCATTTATAGTTAAGACTCCAATCCTGTGTTTCACGACCCCCCAGTTTCTCAAGACTGAAATTCTTCGAAATGTTTGAGCGGCAATGTGGTGCCTTCGCGGTTAACACACCAATATTGTGGCTTGCTAATACGATGTTATCGTTTGGCGGTTTGCGCCCCACCGGAAATAATTATTGTTAATACAGAACGATCAAGCCGTGACGTGGTTCTGTCGCCAACGTTAACCGCACTGAAAAATAATCATGTTAACAGACAATGTGACACTATTGTTTCCCGTTTCAGCAACCACACTCGCAACTCCATTGATTCCTCTGGAATCTTCGAGCCGGCATTAAATTTTAATATTTTTTTCCCCGATAACAACTAATAACAACTTGAAACAACAAATAAAACATCCTGGATAGCGGCTACATTGTAAAACGCAAAGAACAAAATGGGTTCCAAAGGCCGACGCAAAATCAGTCTGCCCAAGTGCCTTGAGGGCTATTTTAATTGGTCCATGTTTAGGGTGGACAGAACCGGTTCTTGAATTGGCTCGGCACTGCACGCTATTTCGACCAGTCTGACTGACTATTCAATGACTAATTTCAGGCCAAAAGTCTTAAACCCACATAGTACAATGCACGCTATTCAGCTCAAGTGGTAATCTCAAAAGCCCAATTTTTATTTTTATACTCTTTGCTCTGAAACTAGGTTCAGTTAAAAAATCAAACGCGATCGTAGTTTTTTCAGTTTACCTAACTTTTAGTAAGTCAGATTTGAGATTCATGATCAGAACAAAGTGTCGTTGTTGCCAGAAAAAAAATTATCTGTTAATTATTAATCAGTTCGTGGAGTTTGATATTTCTTCACTTTTTTATAAAAACATATATTAATTATTTTGTTTATGTTTGTACTGTTTTGCTCCTTCCTTTTCTACAAACAATTAATTCGTCCCGCTGAGACACGTCGTCTTTACAGTAAGTGTCATCAAAAAAGGGAGACAGAGCTGAGAGAGGTCTGAAAAAAAGAGAAAGGAAAAGAGGAAGTCGGTTGATGCCCTTAGTTTGCTAATTTAAGTCTCTCTTGACCGCTTAAAGCATTGCTCGGGTCACTAACGTTTCTATTTTAGAACAGTATTTAGATTTATAAAAACTTGAATTAATTACGGGATAGGCCTGAACGCTCCAATGCTGCAAATTTGAGTTAAAACGTTTACCGTCCGAATTAAAGAAAAACAGTCAGGCGGCTCACAATAATTTGAAAGGGGGAAAAATAATCAAGGTTATTTTAATTGTAGAAGAAATTCAGTTCAAATTTTCAGAAAAGCTAAAACAGATGCTAGACGGTGTTGTTTCAAGGCTGATCGCTATTCGTTCATCACCGTGATTCGTGTGCAGTATTTCTCCCCCGGGCAATAGAATAATCTGGTTTATTCAGTCTTAAACGTGACTTTAATTTCTCAGCACCAGTAGCACGCTTTTTTTTTCCGTATGCTGGTCGAGCCGAGAAGACTGAATGATGCATGAGCCCGGTTCCAGGGCGGTTTCAATTTCGACATCGCGAAAGCCTAGAGTATTCTTCCTGTTTAGCGCTAGTTTACAAGAGGTGTGAGGGCCAAAAGAATGAAAATTATTTATCTTCAACAGTCGTAGTTTTCTCTTCGCAGCCCCCAATTTACCAAGTCATATCCGGCTTATATATAATCGTGGCAGAAATGCTTAGAAGGCTATTGTTCAAGGTATAATAGGGAGCCCACTTTTTAGCAGGTAGATGCATGGTTTTGAGATGAAAAATCAAAAGCTTATGAGTGGTCATCCTATTTAATTTATATTTTCATTTGTGTACTTTGAATTTTTTGACTCTCACACAGTTAAAGCATAAAAATACCTTGTACACATGGTACAACTGAAACACACCCGTATTTTATTATTTTTTTTAATATTGCTGATTCTTAGTTATCACGTTCGTAGTGGTTTGTTGACCTTAATCACCGTGTAACTTTTTCTTGAGATTGTCTTTTGACATGAAGAGAATTCTACGAATTCGCAAAAAGTTACAAAACAAACAAACAAAAACGGACAATCCCTTTGCTCCAAGGTTAAAAAGCGTTTAAGATTTTTTCAGGAAAAAAAAGATTTTAAAAAATGCTGAAATACAGACAAGTTAACGGGAATCCGGAATCATCTCTCGGTTCTGAAAACGGCTCATTAACGACTCTCTCCATCTTCTCCTAGCAAACAAACAAACAAAAAAATTGGGAAAGAAGCGTGCAGTTGAAATTGACGTAAATGAACGCTTTTCCCACATCAAATATATGTGTTTTTCCACCGACTGGAAACTTTTCGTACTTCTTAGTCTGGCCGCCGTGTGTGGTTTCGAATGAAAATTATTTCTACACAGTAAGTTTTTTTCTCTAGCCTTTCAAGACCACACATAGTTCTACTCTATGCAAAATTGTCTCAAGAAAATCGTCAGGTTTAAAAATGAAACACTTTCTTTCACCAGTGAAAATTACCAACAAAATTTAAATTGTAGAAATTTTCTTTAGCCCGCGTCACTCTATTCCCCGACAAGCTGTAATGAACGCATTAATCCTTTAAAATCTGCGGGTGCCACCTTTGTCTGAAATGAGGAATTTTGTTTTCCAAAAAACTGAAAAATAACATCTTGCTACTCTTCAAGATTACAAACTAAACGGAAACGGAAGAGTACTTAAAATTCAAGACAAATTTCCTCATTTTATAAAATAAATTAAAATTTTGAATTCTCTTCAAGGGAATCGATTTAAAATAGTTTGCTGATATGCAGGGGCACCCAATGGATCTGTTCCTCAAAATATCTGTTCTTCAGGCACATTTTTGCTGGCTGGGAGATGTGGAAGAAGTAATAGTCCTTGGAAGGAAAGTCTTGCTGGGAAAAAGATAATTCAGGGTGTCAGAGGGGATTTGAAGTCTAGAGTAGCTGCTACGGGTTACTTGTATGGGTTACTTACCACTCAAGATCTGAATTGTGCCCTATGAAACTTCCCAGTAAGTCAGGTTGCAGGTTGTAAGTTTGCTGGCTGGGAACTCTTCCATCAGTCTTGCTGGGAGTGAGGAACAGATAATTTTTTTCCAGCAATCTCCCAAAATGCTTAAAATAGTCTCAGAAAACTTTATTCACGCTTTGTTGTTGTTTTTAGGTCTTTTTCTCAAAATTTCCCGTTGGGTGCCCCTGGATATGGTGATTAGAAATGAAGAAAACGGCGAGTTACTTGTAAAGTATAATGAAGACTGATGTCCATCTAAAATATTTCTTTTACCTGGTAGACCGTGGCACTTTGCACGCAACGAAAAGAATAACAGATTATTTTGATAGGGATTATTTTGTAGTGTTTTGGTTGAAAGTGAATGTGATATGTCGATGTCTCTACCGTAAAATGACCCAGGCCATCAATGCGGAAAACGACTCATAGATTAAAGAGGTCGGCTTTCGAGACAACTTGTATTCTAAACACGAGAAACACCTTTTCGATGCCTTCCAAACTGAGAGACCGGAAGCAACTCACCTTCTAATATGGCCATGAATTTTCTTAAATTTTCCGCTCTAATAGCACATTTTGCATTCTCAGAGTCATACCAAGAAAAAAAAATGATAAAATTAAGAAAGGAAATAGTATTGCGGGCGCGGCGGTATTGCAAATTAAAACGCCCCTCGCATTGTACACGAATTGCCTTCGTCTTCCTGTATTACCCCTGTATGAAAAGTTAAGAGTCTTACGACTGCAAAAAATGAATAGAATCTGCTTAAAAACTTCAAAGTTAAACTATAATCGTGATCACTCGGAAAGTATTCGTCTGGATCTGAAGGAACCTAAGCCAGAAACGAAATCTGTATTATGGACCCACCCAGGGGACCGGTGACCCCTTTTCGAGCAATCAAAAATTTCGGACAATAGGCCCTTTGCTTGACAGTGATCACGTAATCAACTTTCAGTAAACACGAAAACAGTTCACTTGTGAAAAATTTTGTTAGGACAAGCTGAAAGAGCATATTAAAATTAGGAAACCTGAGAATTTTCAGCCGTGTATCTCAAAAGTAGCGATTGCAGCGGTGGCCGAAAGTTAGAAGCATTTGCGTGAGAAAAACATCTTTTGTCACCCAGTCATCCTTGCATGGTTTCCATACAAATCACTAGTAAATTAAATATTTCCTCGAGCATTACGGGGCTCAATCTTCTTTTCATAGCAGGCAATTTGAGCCCTTAAATGCGTAAAAGAGAGATTTAACGACAGTTTTTTTTTAATTTAGAATTTACAAGGATTTGTATGGAAAACCACTCAAACTTGACCGGGTGGCAAGAGTTGTTCCTTCTACTTTTCTGCGGCCGTTGCAATCGCAACATATGGCTGAAAATTTACAGGTTACCTAATTTTAAGACACTCTATTATACCTGCCAACTTTTTCTGAGACATAAGCGTGAGATTTTTATCCTGGGAGTTCTGCGATTTTTGCAGACGACACGATCATTTCCGAAGTCTTCCGAAGACGTCCGAAGACTGCCGAAGGCGAAGTTATCGAGAAAACGCTTATCCACAAAATCAGAGATCGCGAGGAAGGTATTGTTATTTATTCATTTACACATGGTTTTCGTTCCTTACATGGGTCTGAGTTAACATATTTTTGGAAATTGTGTCAAGCAAGACGGCAACAACTCACATTTTTCAATCAGGCGTGAGAAACTGGCCCGCAGGCGTGAGCCGGCGTGAGATCGAAGTTTTCGACCCGGAGGCGTGAGACTCACGCCTAAGGCGTGAGAGTTGGCAGGTATACTCTATCACCTCGTGCTACTAAAATTGTTGAAAAGCGAACTGTTTTCGTGTTAACGGAAAGTTGATCAGGTGATCAACTTAGCAATTATTCGGAAAATTTTCTCCCTACCATCCCCACCCACTACAAACCTAAAAATGAGCGGTCGCCCAGCAGATGCAAGATGGCGGCCGAGGCGTCACTTACAGGCTCGTAGCTTCTTTTCATTTTATCTTTGAAGGTGAATGCTTTAAAGGTATGAATTTTGTTTGGTAAGATTTGCGTATAACCCCATACATTTATTATGCATACATGTTTCGACTCTATTCTTATTAAACTACTTGTGAGTAAGTAAGGCCTACGGTCTACTCCCCATATTATAAACTCGAACGTACCTTCTAGGGAAAACGAAAAAGGTTTAAGTTAGCGGGAGTTCGAGTTATCGGGAACTCGAAGCAAATAACCAGAAATAAGAAAATGGGATGGGGAATGAATGCAAGTAACATGCACACTTCAAAACTTGATTTATACACAGCAGTGCTGGACACTGTATTTAAACTGGACTGACAAAAAAGTAAAGACAAAGAATACATGGTTTTTAAAACAATTTCAATGTTTTGGACTGCAGTACACTTTTTTTTACTTGTCACGCATGGTTGGAGTTATGGACAGTAAATTCATATAGTTCTCTGCAGCGAAACAAAAAATTACTTAGAGTTAGTGGGAAATTCGAGTTATCGAGGGTTCGAGTAGGCTGAATTTCATCCGATTACTTGGAGTCGTTATTACTCCCTCAGTAACGTCTGAATTGACCGGCCGTTAATACCGTCCAGTGACGTCACTACTCCTTGAGCTTTGCTTTAATTTATGCAAAAAGTAAAACACGACTTTCAAGTGGCAAACCGAGAAATATCGTTTGGAAATGTCTGCCTGATATAGAACTACTTTATTTTTTTTGATCGTAATTCATGTTTAACATTCATACTATCAACTACATGCAGGACAACTCCGAACTGGTTGTATTCTATAATCAAACTCGGTCGCAATCACACAATGAAATAAACACACACACAGAACACTAAGTTCAAAAACACAATGATTTGCTTTAATTGAAAAGAAGCTATTTGGTCCTTATCGAAGGAAAAAAACAAGGAGACAAGAAAGAAGAGCTAACAGAATCATTACACTTGACGGTAAAAATAGCAAGAAGGTCGAATTATAACTTTGATCTTAGAAAACTTCGTGTAAACAAAATCACCGGCCACCGAAACCACAAAGCGGCCCTAAATGAAAAACCTACCGACTCTCCCCAATGATTCTTCATTCGCAGTTCAATTTAGCATTTCTGTTTTGAAGACAAGGGCAATTTTGCTGTTTAAGATAAAGCTTAAGCGTATCAAAATGTTTGAACTAAATGAAAGAATGCCAGGGATGCGATCCGCTGAATATTTTAACAGAAATGCTAAATTGAACTAAAATTTTCACAATTATACATGATTATGCGAATGTTTAGACAATCAACCAATCAAAATCACTACCCAGTTTTCGGGTAGTGAGTGACGTCACTGGACGGCATTAACGGCTGGTCGATTCAGACGTTGTTGAGAGGAGAAAACAACTCGAAGCAATCGGATGAATTTCAGGCTAGGGTTCGAGTTACCAAGGGTAAAATTATAGTAAATGTATGAGACAAATCCAGGGTAAATCGATTCTGGTTCGAGTTAGCAAGGGTTCGAGTTTTCAGATGCAGGAGTCGAATGTAGTTAATATAACTGTTGTGGTTCAAATTTTTCCTTGGCTGGAAATTTTTCAAACCAGTTTAATTTTTACTTTCCTTTGTCTAAAATCAATTACCATAATCAGAGACAAAGAAAAACAAAAATTAAACTGGTTTGAAAAATTTTAAACCAAGGAAAAATTTAAACCACACAATAACCACTAAGAGCTCAGGATTTGTAACTCGTTAAAACGCTCTTGTGAAAAAAAAATTGGTTGAAAAATACAAAAGAAATATGATATGGGATTTTTTATATGGAAATGGTACCTTTTGTTTTGGTGTTACATTATTATTAATATATGGATTGTAAATAGATTTTTACTATTTTTTATTCCATGCTTATGATATGTAATTTTTTCATTTTCTCCCCTTTTTTACATTGTAAAGTGCCACGAGCTCAGGATATGAGCACTATATAAATGAAGTTGTTATTATTATTATTATCAATCCTTGTTGTCTAGACCAAAATTTTTACACTGGTAACAACCACAATTTAGTTGTGGTTGTTACCAGTGTAATTTTATGTAGAGATCTAAATGTTGTATATAGGCTTCCTTAGTACCTGCAGGACTCCTATCCATGTAACCTTGCAAATTAAGGATCATATATACTTTCCATTACTTTATATTACTGTAAATGATATAAGTACAGTGGAGACTGCCTGTTGACTACCTAGACTAGCTAAGCTCACTTCAAAAAACAAAGCATTTTCCACCCTGATTTTACCACTTTGATTGCCAATTCTTATATTTTCAAACTTAATCTGTCCCGCAACCCTGTGAGCAGATGCTACACTTTTCGTGATATATTGCTAAAAACCATCACATGTTTTATTCATGCATGTGGAAATTTTCTTCCATGATTGACAAGCATAAGGGTGCAAACTATAATTTGCATCTTTTCAATTAAAGATGTGCTCAGTCTGAAATGCTACAATTTGTTTTGAGGTTAATAGCTGTGGATGCACATGTTTGAAGCAAAAACTTGCTACAGAGTATTAAACTAAAAAGGTTTTATATTCTTCTTCATAGAGAGGGAAAGCATTACTGAACACAGCACAACACGAATGTCAATAGGGTGGTCTGTACCCATGCAGATAGGCTTGATTTCCGCTGCTCTCTTGATCCTCCCGAACAGCATCTGGTAATCAAGCCTAATGTGCAGACTCAAAAACAAAATACAACCACTACATTCTTATGAAAAGCACCCCCTGGAATGGAAATTCCAGGGAGATAGGGTGTCTAAAACAAAAGTGCCCACCGTGGAGGGTATGGATATTATTATTCTGTATTGCTGAACCTGAACCATCTACTCCTAGGTCCGGCTTATCTTTACTGCTCTTTGTCCAAAGTGGTCCTTGGAAGACTTCACAGTTCATCTGACTTTTTTAATTTTCTAATTGCAGAGACGAGGAGAAAGGACTTCCTGGTTATTGACTTGATTGAGCCCCCAAAGATGCTTTTAATCTCTGGTTTGAAATCTTTGCACACAAGCTTACGAGGCTTTGGGTTGTACCTGTCTGAGTTTCAAAAATATCCCTTGCGCTCTTTTCAAAAGTTAAGCAACTCTTACAGCATATCAAGGACACCAAAGCAAGTCTATGGTGAAGCCATGAATCATGGCAACAGCGTCCGCTTTGTAAATCCTTCTTGCAAATTCTTAACGTCTCAGTCCACAAACCAATCTAGATACGTCAGGAACTTGGATAAGAAAATAAGGGTACTAAAAACTGTAGAAGAACACCTGGAATTGCTTAGGAAATTTCACAAGTCTGTTTATACTTCAGACAGAGTGGCTATACTTTGTAGGATTGCTAAGATCACAGAAGGAGATAAAAGAGAGAGGCTTGTGTTGGAAGTGGAAAGAAGGAAGTCTGAGCGAGGACAGTATAGCGAATACATGGATTCACTGGAGAGTATTTCCAAAGGCATCTCTAGATGCAACGAATGGCATCTCGCTAATTTGATGTGGGCTTTAGGGAAAATTCATGAGAAACACCACAAACTTGTTGCAGTTTGCGAGAGGGAGATTTTGTTACGTGGCATCACTTCTTTTAACAATGCTGAGATTTGCCAGATCATAAATGGCTGTAAAAACCTTAACTTGGTATCCTCAGCCATATTTGCAAAAACAGAGGAAACTATTTTAAATGAAGACGCAAGCATTCGTGACTTTGAAGTTTACGAACTATCAGGAATGTTGGCATCATATTCTAAAACAGGCAACGGCTCGGCTAAACTGTTTAATACATTCTTAAAGGAAATTTTGTCAAGAGACTTCTCAAAAATTGGCTATCGTGCTCTAGCGGAATTTGTATGGTCATTCGCGAAGAGAGATTTTGTCGCTGACAGTTTATTTCACAAAGTTGAAGAGGAAATAATAAGACGAAGTATATCAGACTTGGACAGTGCTAGTTTTTCTAAATTACTCTGGGCATTCACCAAAGCGGGTTGTGGAAGTAAGCGTTTATTCTACCATCTGGATAATGAACTTGTCAACAGCGGTTTAAATCAGTTTGACAGTGGCGTGCTGATAGAAATCCTTTGGTCTTTTACAAAACGAAATGCGACAGACGCCAGAGTGTTTGCCCTTGTTGAAGAGGAAGTTTTACACCTCGGAGTTCATAAGTTTAAAACACACCAGCTTGTACGGATTCTCTTCTCGTTCGTCTCTGCTCAAAGACACAATCCACTCTTGGCTTCAGAAATTGAAAGTGAGTTATGCCTGAGAGATATTCTTCAATTTACCAGTGGCGATTTATGCCAAATAGCCTGGTCCCTTGGAAAAGCTGGAAAGTCAGACAGTAAGCTCTTTGATATAATTGAGGCACAAATATTTCAGCGTGGTCTACAGGAGCTTCCCTTAAAGGAAAGCCATTTACTGATGCTAATGCATGGATTCATTGAAGCCAAAAGAGGGACCAGGCGACTGTTTGAATTTCTAACTCACTTTTTTACAAAAACAGATTTCCGTTGTTTTAGAGAAAGTGAGATTTGTGAGTGTGTTTGGTGTTTTTCTGAGGCGGGTTTTCAATCAGGTGCACTTTTTGATTCTTTGGAAAAAGAAATCTTAAATCGCGATAAATATTTTTTTAGCAGCAGGCAGATCGCCTTTATAAAAGAGGGATTCCAACGAGTTGGAAAAGGGAGCAGAGAACTTTTTGCAATGTAACATCTACGAGTTAGCTATGGGATTAGCCTGTTCCAGGCCACAAGATGTCAAAAACTGATGGGAAAAACGCAAGCGGGCTCCTGGGCAGAGAGACCACTCCCTTTCCCAAGATAAAGCGTTTGTTATTTTCGCTTTCCTCGTTTTCATGTTGTCCCCACTATCTGAGAACCTGGTACAGGCTAATCATGGAAACACAGGTGGCGCAACGGTGACAGAACTCACGTCCCAGCAAAGGGGCCTGAGTCTCACTCCCAGAGGTGACGTCATATGCGATTGGTTCTTGTTCTTGCTCCGATCAAGAGGTTGTGCTCCAGTTACTAAACTGGTTATCCTCTGTCTATGAAAACTGAATTCCAGTTCAGTCCGGAAAATAGTAGGCGAAGACCACTTTGCTGGTGTGAAACCACTAAGTCGTGGTGATCAATTGTAATCAAAATTAAAAACAGCTTTTGGACCTTGTTGAGATTTCATGCCAGCTATAAACATCCTTTAAACTTGAGATGTAACATTGCCAGAGAGTTTCGACACTTAGTATGGATCCCTTCCACCCCCTTTTACTGTCTGAACGCCTGAAACAGTCCATGTGCTGTTAAGTTTTATGAATAAATGATCCCCTTAGTGAAGAAGGCAACCTTGAAAAAAATATAACCGTACAAAAATTCAGACTTGCTTTTTTTTTTGCTCGCATGGACTTTTTGCCTTTATTAACAAGCAGAATAGAAATGAGATCAAGACAGCAAAAAAATGAGAACGCGAAAGCGTGCACAAAGGACTGAACGAAACTTTAGGTGAATAATCTCCCGCTCTGCGCTAGCGGTTTCATATCATTCTCGACCCCATAATACCCTCAGAGATATTATCCAGGGGCAGCCAGATGAGTCGGGAGAAAAGGCGCAACAAGATTTATCAAGCATGGGCTTGAAAACGTCTGTCTTGCCTCTTCTACTGACCCAACTGGCTTCACCTGGGTCTACGAGGATGTCTCGACCCCAGATCTTACACTTCTAGCTCTGTGTGTACATGTGCAGAAGGGCTAAGTCAATTTTGGTTTTCAATCTCCGTCCCGGAGCCCGTTCTCCTTTTGATTAATTAAGAACGTGTTGTCGTGCATGACAAAAGAGACTCCTGGGAAAAAAGTTGTTCATTTCTAAATCTGCCTCACAAGCACCCTTGTATGGCGTTCCATTTCCGCCAAAATTCAATGTTCCATTTTACATTCTACTTTGCACAATCTATCCTACACTTTGTGTTTGTCATTTGAGTTTGCACTCGCGATTCAACTTTTTTGCATTCAACATTCAACTTTGATTTATGCAACATTCACGTTTTCGCTTTCGACATTCAACTTTTCATAAGCAACAGTCAGGTTTTGGAATTCTACCTTCAAGTTCAGTGGAATGTACATTCATTTTTTCTCATCCAACATTTAGCATTTGTCCTTTAAGTTTTCGCTTCCGACATCCGACTTTGAGCATTGTACTTGCAAGTTTCCGCATTCGACATTCAACTTTTCGACTTTGACTTTTACCCGCTGGTCAGCGACCGATTAAGATCGTGGGCTCAATTGACCTGACCTACCCCCGCTCAAATGGTGGTCGAGAGACTTCCCAGTCGAGTGGACTCGGGAGACCTTCTCCACTCCCGACAAACCAGACGTCGACAACAACATGGCCGATCGCCAGTATGCTGCAAGGTCTTCGAGGGAGGTGAGTGTTGTCCAACCGACTTCTGCCTTCTTTAGTGGGACACTATACGTGACACAAACAGGGAGGCATCGCGCTACCTGTTTGCATCTCTTCAGCTTAATTTGAAAAGGTAAAGCATGTTTTGTAGTGATATTTAGCATAAATACCACGAGTGATATTTGAAATTTCACGAGTGAAATTTAAGACAATTTTGAAATGTCACAAGTAGTATTTATACCAAAAATCACGTACACATCATGCTATTATTTGTTTATACTACTACCTGCAAAGGTTTTGTAATTTTCATATGTAAGTATTTCAAATTAAGCTTAAGCTGAAATACCACTGCTCTAAGCCAATCAAATTGCAGAAATTTCTCATGTAGAAGTAGCTTAAATATTCTCCCAGAAATTGCATTCTCATGCGATAAGCGCTGTTAATTGATCAATTTGTTTCATCTTGAGATTACTCAAATATTTGATCCCGCAGATGTCTGATGACAAAGCCTATTTAAATTTAGCTGTCTTGGATATCATCAGTGCTATAGACAGATTTACAGGGTCTGCAGATCCATCAGTAGATTTCCAACCAATAGTTTTCAAGTTGGATTTTCTGCAAAGAATAGCTGTCGGCCTCGATGTGGATGAACTAGTCACAGAATTGATTGGACATGCTTACAGGATGTTGGTTGAAATTGATCAAAGAAACCTTGTTAACTATGCATATCAAGCTCCATTGAATAGTAGAGGGCAACGAGGGAGACCTTCATATGAAATCAGCGAGGAACAGCTTCATTTTTTACTTGAGCAAGGGTTTAAAGTATGTGACATAAGTAAAATCCTTGGAGTGAGTGCCAGGACAGTTGAGAGGAGGATGTCAACATTTGGGTTGAGTGTATCAGGTATAAAGTAACATGAATCTTTTATTTTTGTCTAATGAGATGATAAACTACTACAAGGACAATTTTTATAACAAAGTGATAATATTTAGTACAGGATTAAGGCTATAAAAAAGTAATGTTGATAGTTGTTGCACCAAGCAGTGGTGATTAAGATTTTGCGAATTAAAACGTTGACTTCCACTTACTTTTACCTAGGGATCCACTCCCATAAATGATAGATTTTTCCTTATACCATCATTATCTTTATTGTTGTTGACCTTTCACACTTCAGGGTAGCTTGACTGAGAAAAAGTTACAATGTCAAGTATAGCCTCAGGCCTGAAGAATGTTATTAAATTATTATGGCAGTTTTACATATCTGGATGCCCAGTATTAGTAAAACACACAGAAGTGTTTGAACTAAAATTTTGTTGACCATTCTACCTAGCTTGAGATTTATGACAAAATCATACTAAAATAAAGTTATTATTATTATTGTTATTATTATTATTATCATCATCATCATCATCACCATCATCATTATTACTATTCATTACCCAACACCTACAATGAAAATTTTTTACCCCATTATATTGCTTTGGTTCAGGTATGTTCAGTGATATAGAAGACAACCAACTGGATGAGCTCGTTCAAACTGCTTCAAGCCAGCATCCTGGAATGGGTATAAGAATGCTCAAAGGTTATTTACAAAGCAAAGGGTTTCGCATTCAGCGAGAAAGAATAAGATTATCCCTGTTGCGAACAGATCCCATTGGTATTATGGAGAGATGGAGAAGTACCACTAGGAGGCGACATTACAATGTTAGGTATCCACTCTCACTATGGCACATAGATGGGAACCATAAGCTGATAAGGTACTGATAAAGATACCTGTTGTACAGTGTACATTGTCATAGTTTCCCCTCGTGATCTTGTGCGTGGGTCCAAGTTAAACACAATCAAAATTCTGCTACTGGATACCTCCTGTAAACATACACACCTTGAATGAACCAAAAAGAAAACACTAAACTGTGGCCACAACACCAGCTAATGCAAGACTTTTTAAACTGTGTTTTAGCTACAGTTGAAGACATTGATCATGATTGATAACTGTTTCCCTGTCCCCATCTTTTTTAACCCCTTGCAGGTAACACCAAACATGATAAGGTTGCCCTAACAGGAGCTTTTATTTTTTGTTTGTCACTCTTGTATGTAAATTAAGGGGTTTTTTTAACAGATGGAGAATTGTTATACATGGAGGAATCGATGGCTTTTCTCGAATCCCAGTCTATTTGAAGGCCTCAAATGACAACAAGGCAAGCACTGTTCTTTCATGTTTTCGTGAAGCTGTGTCAGAATACGGCCTTCCATCTCGGGTCCGCTCTGACAAAGGAGGGGAGAACGTAGATGTAGCAACCTATATGCTTACTCACATGCAGCGAGGGCCAGGCAGGGGAAGTATGATAACAGGTACAGAGTACTGCATCATTATTACTTAGGTTAGACTATGAGCAGTCCCCATTTTTCCTCAGGGATAGTAGGCGCATCTCCCGCCCGCGTCTCTCCTTTTCGCGTGGGATGATTTTTATGATGCACGGTTTCACTCAATCTACTATCCGTTAAGAAAAATGGGGACTACTTGTAATCTATCTTTCCTTAGCTAGATGACCTTTCCTGGGTTTGTAATAGATGGGATCTTGAATTCAGGCTATACTTTAAGATCCTGAATAGGTTTTAACAAAGGATGCTACATTTTATATAATGAAATAGATACTTATGGGATCATGAACTGATCTTGAGGATTTCTAGGCAAGGAGAAATGATGCTGTATGAATAGTATTATATTACTATTAATAACTCACAAGTTTCATTAAATTAGTTTAAGGGGAACTGTTTTCATGAATGCTTGTGTGTGTTGTTAAAAATAAGCATGGTGATTGCCATGCTCCCAAATCCGGTTGTGACTTGTTTTAAGTATGATGGTAATTGAAGAAACTATTAAGCCCGGAAGGAATCAAGAGACTATTAAACAATTCTTTCTTTTCTCCTTTTCTTTCCTTTTTTTTTAAGCGGGGGCGGGGGGGAGTATTTGACACCAATTGTTAGATAATGTTTAACAGATAATTAAGTAAACTAAAATTTTATTAATCTGTAAAATTATATTCTTTGCAATCACTAGGAAAGAGCACACACAATCAAAGGATTGAACGACTTTGGAGAGACTTATATGGGGGCTGCCTTAGCCTCTTCTATGAACTCTTCTATACCCTAGAAAACCAGGATGTGTTAAATGCAGATGATGATTGTCACCTCTGGTGCCTACATTACGTGTTCGTGCCTATCATCAACAGACATCTGAGTAATTGGAAAGACGCATGGGTTCACCATCCATTACGTACAGAAAGAAACAGAACGCCCATGCAGTTATGGATTAGTGGACTGCAAGAGGCATGGGGATTTCTTGGTCCTGAAGGTGAAGTGTTCCAGGTATGTAACATGTTTGGTTTCATTTAATCAGCATTACTTGTGTCAAATGTAATAACTAAAAAAAAATTATGATCACCAATCTCTATCCTCAGGCCAGCATTGCAAGAAATTGGGGGTTAATGCTTTGGCAGCACATATGTAACAAATTGCTCACAATAATCCTTTTTTTTTTAGGGCGATTATAGCAACTATGGGATTGATTGGCAAGGTCCCGTCCCAGAACAATGCCCTGATTATGTTGAAGTTCCGGACACAAACTGCCCATTCACTGAGGAGGAAATGCATCTCCTACCTGTAACAGACAATTTAACATATTTAGAGGGGGTTGAAGTATTCAACCAAATCACCAACTTACTGTAATAAGAAACACCCTCAAGAGTCAGTCAAGTAACGCTAAAGGACAAACAAAAAACAAACAAGTCATATATTTATTTAAACTAACAATAATTTTTTCAACCTACTTTTAATCTTTTGACATGTAATCTTACATGTTCAGAACTGGAACAATAAATTGCAACTAACTGTGATAATTATTATTTGTCCAGAAATACTACAGTGACTGTGTTGTTCAAATAAAAACACATACCTTCCAAATAGGTCTTTTGGTTTCAACCTTTCGAATCTTTAACGTAATTACAGTGCATGAGGACTATCCTTTGTTGGAACAAGTTGTCATTAAAGGATCCATCTTTCATTTTAAGGAACACTTCATTGTTATAGGGGGACAAACGTCACTACATATACCGATCTGGAGTTGTTGCTAAGGGGTTTTCATACATGTATGAGGTAAAATATTTATTACATTGTGCTTTGCATTAAAACCATGCTTGACCCTGGATTGTGAAATAATCATTTTAGGCTTCTAAAAGACATGAAAAGAAAAACATGAATTGTTTGTGCAAATATAACCATGTATTGATCTTCCTTCATGTGTAGGTGTGTGCAAGTCCATTTTGTGGATTTGATGGTTTTCTGTATGGATGTTTAGAAACTCTCCTTAGCAACAGCAACAGTAACAGCAGAAAATATTAATGAGCAAATAGCCTTGACTTGTTACTAACAAGAAACTCGAAATGTCAACAATGTATACAACAAGATGTAACTTTAACAATGTAAACTCATCACTTACAGGGAGTTGTAAATTGATGTCCAAAAAAGTTAACTCAACTTGTAGTCAGAGCAAAATACAATTTGAGAGTATAGAGAAAATGCATGATAACAAGGAAGTCTAATAACTTCTGAACTTTGTAGTTACACACAGTTAAATGACTGTCCTGTGGTAGTATTTATGACTGCCTCTAGTGACAAACTTAAGCTATCTTGGTCTTGAATTGATTTGGAAATGTAATGTGAAACAAACATGTTGATGCAAAGATAGCCGGTACCCTATCAAACTTTACTTGAATTTTTCCCAGGCCAAAATCGGGAAGAGCCTTTGAACCCGTGGCAAAAGAGAAATTTTTCCAGTGTGTCAACCTTTGCATTCTGTATAAACATGTGAATGTAACCTGCTACTACACTTTCATTGTCATCCATATCTTTAGGGAACTGAAGCACGCCAATGACAGAATCTGCATTCAACTCTTCCTTGCTGGGGATAAAGAGAGCCTCAAGGAACTCAGGGTATTCTTTCATAGCAGCTCGAAATCCAAGTGTGTTTAAACCCTCCGCCAACTGGTCAAGAATAATCTTAGGGCGGCCAATTACATCATGTATAATGATCCCCTGAATAACCCTCATCTTGTTGTCGTTCTAGAATGAAGTAATACGTGAGTCAGCAAATGAGTGAGTGAATGACTGACTGTAGGAGTGTGACTGACTGACTGACTGACCAAGCAAACTACTGAACAGATGAATGACACCTTCAGTGTATTCTAGTTAAATGGTCGTTCTCACAGTAAGCAACAATGCTAGTCAGTTCAAACTTACTGTTAATGCAACAGCAAGGCCACACTCAGACAACATACTTGAGCATTCTTCTTTGTCAAGACTACACACATCTTCAGCTTGTGCAACCTAGTATTGATAAAAAAATAAAATCTGATGTGAGTGGTTTTCAATTAAGTTGACTGTAAACTTTGTTCTGTAAATAAACATAGTAATTTTATTGCTATTGTGTGCTGATTGTTGGCAATATCATCATTACATGTATATTTCATCTGTACTGCATATTATTTGCATATGTTATTAGAAGCAATAGTAAGAAGTAGGCACAAATTTGAGATAATTTTTACAAACAGAACTGTAATGCCATGGTCATGATTATGATGTTACTTGACATTGTAGTGATTGTATACTCATAGGTGAATTGAAAGATGTTCGAGTTTATTTATTTATTTATTTTATTTTATTTGCCACACTAATTACAAAAAATATAGGAAAAGAAGAAGAAAAAAAAAAAAAAAAGAAGTGGCGAGGAGACCTAACAGAAACTATAGGAGCTTATGAGAGGTTAGGCCTCCTCGAACTATGAGCTAGAGCTGTTTCACATCAATTGAAGAGAAGAAGGCGAAAAGTCGAAGATGGAAAGATTTATAAACTGTTTTCATACTTACTCAATAATTTAATCTTCAGTTTTTTCTTAAAAGAGGAGAGGGATTGAGAGTTGAATCAGAATCAAAGTACTGTATTCTACTCAATTGATGACAAGCTCCCTTTCAGTCAGTAATTTTAGAATGCACTCAAATGTCCAGTTTGTACCTTGTCAATGAAATGCTTAACAGGCTCTGAACAATCTCCATAATTCATCTTGGCCATTGCTGCATCAATATTACCAGAAGCAATGTAACAGTATACTGAAGGACTCAACACTGGGAAGCCTGGGCCACCTTGTAAAATACTGTGAACAATCATGGTGCCAAAGTATCGCATTAGTCCGGAGGCCACAATATCTGCACTGTACACAGGACTCTTGTATTTGCCGCCTTGAAAGAACATCTTGCAAATGACTTGGAACAACTTTGTGTAAAATTCTCTTGTAACACCACCTGTGTCCACTGCTGGTTGGCCTTTAAACTGGATTCTTAGCTTCTTCTTAACATCAAACTCAGGACTTTTGTAATGGGCCAATGCATCGTTCAGTATGTCCTCCTCCTCAATTTTTACTTTTACTCTCTCGTCACTCATATTCTTCCCAAGCTCCTTTAACAATGACTGCAAGGAATCTATTTTCTCTTTTGAAGGGGGAAAAGAAGGCTGTAACAGGCTGTCATCATCACTGCTAAAATCATCTTCAGGTAAATTACTGGAAAGAGAAAGAGCCACAGCACCAACAGTCCCGTGTAGACTGAGGGCTCGCACCAAGTCATCTCGACTTTTGTCCGGAAACATCTCCATTAGTTGTTGCAGGGTTTCCTCCTCTGTTGTTTGTCTAGATGGACCAGGCTGTGGTTCTTCTCCATTGTCATCTATGTGTAATGGTACTTCACCTGCAATAACAAACGAAATCTTAATATGTACTAGCATTATTTTAAATAGCAGTGCAAATGCAGGTTATGTCACAACCACAATAATACATGTAAATTGTTATTAGCCAATGCACAACCCCGCCTCTCTTTTTGTGGCTCAAAGTATTCACGACCTTGAAGTCAGGCTGCTGCTGAATAAACTGAATATATCATGTAATGCTTATTTCTTTGCCTTTTCACAAAGTAATAAAAATAACTCAATAAAGGCAATTTTATTGAAGACTGAACAGCTATGCAGAGACAGTCACAAGTAAAGTAATGTTACGTAATGAAAATTTGTGTGTTGCATAATTTAACATCTAACAGACAAGGTTAGTAATAGCCAAAGGTATATTTAATATACCTTTGGCTGTTTTTACTTGTTGGTTTCAGCTGAAAGATGTTCATTCTTCATTTTTCTGCAGGGAGTTGAATTTCACCCCTTTTCTAGATTGATTTAAATGATCCCCCAAAAAATGTGGTGGCTGTCAATGTTTTACCCCACGGTTGGGAGGGTAGGTATGCACAGTCTGCCCTGCTATTTTTTTATGGCAGTGCATAAACAACAGACTGGCAGCACAGGAAATGCATTTCCCATGATCCCTTAGGAGATGTCACCAGTATTGCGTGACTTGAATTGATGCAATGACAATGAAAAGTCCACCCGAATGAAAAGTCTACACATTTTAAAAAGCTGACCAAAACTGAAAACTATACCAACCCAATGTCAAGTCTAATAAAGAAAAATCAACCCAAAAAGGAAGTCTGTGCAAACTAAAAGACAATGTGTACCCCAAAATAGGGAAAAAAATGTGAAAAAACAAATTTTATATTAAAAATTTGCATCATAATTTTGGCACCAATGGCATGCCATATGATCCTAATTTACTTCCAATACAGGGAAAGCTTTATTATGACACGCCTTATGAAGTTATGATGAATACTACTCTGCTGGATCTTGTCCCCTTGCAATACACACCTTCATCCTGCTGCTGCTTCTGTGACTGAGAAGGCTGGAGCATTGGGGGAGGTTCCCAGTTACTGTCATTGTCTATAAAAAACATAATGTTACTGAGTGGGTTTTGAGTTCCTTTGATTTACAGCACTCTACTTCAAATATAAGATAACAGAAAATATATCCACTAAGGGAGGAGGTCCTGGGGGTGGTACTGGCATGTATGTTTGCCACAAATAAGTATGTGCCACTGTAAAGGGTAATGGTTTTTAAGCAGTTTACTCTGGGATAAGGTATATCAATCAGAGAGTTTGGGTCTAGAATAGGGTATTATTTTCCAGGAATTGGTTGAAAGTTTTAGTCTACAATAGAGAAACTGGGAATTGACACTCAAAAATATATAAAAAAATTAAATCAGCACGTTTAACTTTACAAAACTCAGCCTACAAAACTACTATAGGATAGTAGTCTAGAATAGAGTAGCAAAATTCAGCTGAACTAGCTCTGGTATAGGCTAAGGGTCCCAGGGTCCCAGTAGCACATCCCTACCCAGAAATTCCTAAAGTATCCTCCCCTCCCCCCAGGAAGGAGGTGAACTTGGTGATGTAAGATTTGAAGAGGCTTTCTCCTCAGTTAAACATGATTGTAATTTAAAGGTGTCATAACGTCATATCACAAAGAAGAAAGTTCTTCAGCTGTTCAAGTATTCACTGAATTGTACTTTCAAGCCCTAGTTACATTTGCACATTATTTATGACATAAATAAGATACAAAGAGTATGGATCATGATACTCAGCAAGCTTAATGTACTGACCAGCACTGAATTCAAAGTCATCTTCAGGCTGCTTGGTCTCTCCTTGCTGGTGAGTCTCCTGGTGCTCCTGCATATCCGTCATGATAATAGCAGCACCACAGGTAAAACAGTTAATCATAGGAACATCACTGTCAACCTAAATAATCATTTAGAAGGGTAGGCAAATCAACAAACATACATGTAAGCAGTAGTTAAAAATACACACATAATTGAAGCGTATAAACAATGTAAATCATGTCAAAATGTTCTTCAGCTACAGTTTGTTTTAGGATTTCCTTTGTTCTGAAAAATGTTTATGAACATGAGACAAATAAAATTAAAAAAGAAAAGAAATACAAAGACTGAAACCACTGAAATCTGAATTTCATTTTAACTTATAGCGTCTACATCTTAAACTTTAACATCATTTCCATTTGATATTACAAAAAATCCACTACTTTCACAGTAAGAAAATAATGAAGCTTGATATAATGTATATTCCAGACTGAATTTAATATACTGTACATATATATAACAAACCCATGGGCAGGTTAAAAGAACAAGGTTATAAATTTAACTTAAATAAGCATACATGTACACATACTCTCATCAGTAAATTCAACAAATAATTTGTTTTATTATAAATATTACCAACAAATTAAAAAATAAAAAAAATAAAAAAATAAAAATTATGCTCTCCTCCTAATTAATCCAAAACACAGCTAATTACAATACAAAACCAATTGAACAAGAAATAAAGCGAAAAGAGTCACTGACACTACTATTGTAGCTTGTTAATTTCTGCTATCCAACTTACATCTTCTTTATCTTCTCCACCTTTGTCATCAAGTTCAATGTCCTTTTGGAGAGGTCGTATGAAAATTTTTGCTTGGCCACATAACTCCTTCAGCCTTTGAGGTGTGTGTGGGGGAAGAATTCTGTGGAACCCTGCACCCTCCCCATTACCTCTCTGAAACAACAGCAGGTCAAAACCCCAACCTCACTCAATTGAGGAAATCGTTGGATGATTCCATTGTACACAGAGCTCTTGTTATACCCAAAGGTAATACTAGCATCACCCAAGCCAGCATTTGCCAGTGCCGTTCTTTTCTTTCACAGACATTGGTGGACGGTCTGCCTCTTCCTTGGCAGCTAGACACACAAACTTTAAAGTACATGTAGCATTTCGTTTGGACTTTGGAAGAGAGCTGCCAGAAGAACGTGCTCGTTTTGCATTGTTTCCATGGCTAAACAGCCTGCGCTGTTCAGCAGCAACAGAAGCAGACAGACAAGCAACTGGAGAAGGATTTGTATTCTGTTGTACCTTTCTGGTGCTGTCTAAAAATAAAAAAATTATAATAATAAATATATTCAAACAGAACCTTCTCAACAGCCAATCCAAACAAATTTAACTACAGAGAGCTCTGACATAATTATTAAATAAATACATGTACGGTGTGCGAGCACTGTAGCTTTTTCTGTATTACCCATTGCTTACATTACTTGAATTGCTCAGACACAAGAGCTTGTGTAGTCTGCATGGGAGGCCAGAGATTGGGGTGCCTGTGGCGTTTTATGCAGACCGATTCTTGATTGCTGGGCAACAAATCAAAATTCACACAATAAAGAAATGAGTAAAAACACAAAGACAAGAGTATTGCAAGCAAAACCTTTCGGAAATATTTCATTCTACGATCGATGCCGTCCATTACGCAGCGCGCGTGAAGTGATCAAAATGATGCTGCCGCTATTTATGCGTACATGTAAGCTTGTGTCGGCGCTTACGCGCGAACTTTATTGAACACATAACTTCTTCATACTTGACAAAGATTGCCCGATACTTACTTGGAGATGGTGTCTCTTCCAACGAGGACAGACGGTCAGCCACCCTCAACAGGGTGGCTCTCACTTCACTTAAGCTAGCAGCTGACGGTTCCGCATCCCGGCGATCGGCCATGTTGTTGTCGACGTCTGGTTTGTCGGGAGTGGAGAAGGTCTCCCGAGTCCACTCGACTGGGAAGTCTCTCGACCACCATTTGAGCGGGGGTAGGTCAGGTCAATTGAGCCCACGATCTTAATCGGTCGCTGACCAGCGGGTAAAAGTCAAAGTCGAAAAGTTGAATGTCGAATGCGGAAACTTGCAAGTACAATGCTCAAAGTCGGATGTCGGAAGCGAAAACTTAAAGGACAAATGCTAAATGTTGGATGAGAAAAAATGAATGTACATTCCACTGAACTTGAAGGTAGAATTCCAAAACCTGACTGCTGCTTATGAAAAGTTGAATGTCGAAAGCGAAAACGTGAATGTTGCATAAATCAAAGTTGAATGTTGAATGCAAAAAAGTTGAATCGCGGGTGCAAACTCAAATGACAAACACAATGTGTAGGATAGATTGTGCAAAGTAGAATGTAAAATGAAACATTGAATTTTGGCGGAAATGGAACGCCATACCCTTGAAGACACTGGACTTGTAGGTTACTGTCAAGTTTAGAAATTGAATTCACCTTTCACCAGTTTCTGACACAGTCCTACTTTTTGTCAGAGCCAATCTGACCCTTTAAAAATGGTCGATTTATTGCAATTAATTTTTTCATTAATTAATTACACCATTTGTTAATTAATTACTTGCTTTATTAATTTATTGTCGTAAGCTCCAATTAAATGAAAGTTTTAGAAGCCTTACAAGCCTTACTTTAAAAGTGTTTTTAATTGTTTTTCCCAAAGATTGTATGGATCACACAATGCCTAGTTTGACATGTCAGGAAATGTAATAGTCTGCAGACACAAATTGCAAATGTGGCTTATTGCTCAACTATCCCTATACTCATAGTCGCACTGCATTCTCCACAAATTTTAATATTAATTTGAAGGCTTAAGTAAACAATAATGATTAATATCATCATTGCCGTTCCACAAAAAAGCTGACAGAAATGAATTTGCTTATACAATATTATTGAACGCCCACATGCGAAATCCTCAAGGTTAGTAAGCGACCACCTCCCTTGAGCAACCACCTATACAAAAAAACAAAACTTTCCCAGGCAAAGCCTTACAGTTGGAACCTCTCATAAATAACCCTCCCTCGTCCCCCCGTCTGTAATTGACCACAAAGTCTTCACAAATTGGGTGGTTGCTTACAGC